CAGTCGATCTTGCTCCCGTGTGGCTCTCACGACGGCGGCGGCCTGTTTGCGCTCCCGCTGGACCTTTTCTTGCTCCTCCTTTTTTTTTCGCAGCGGCGGACTTCTCCCGTTTTTCGGTCCGGCGGGGTGGGGACGCGATTGGGGTTGTCAGGGTCCCAACCCCGCAGATCGCGTGCCCCCGGGTGGGCGACCTTGTTGTGCGCGCGAGTCACCCATTGAGTGGCAGGCTGAGGAGGCGACTCAGAACGAGCTTGAGGCTTGGGAGTCGGGGCTTGCGGGGGCCTGGTTTTTTTGGGCATGATGGTGGTGGTGAGGCAGATACCGGCCAGCCCGCACACTTGCAGCGCATGGACTCCTGCACTGGCCGCCAACCTGATTGCGCTCGGCTTGCGCCACCCTTCGGCGCGAACCGGAACTGACTTATCGTCTTTTTCAGCTTGTCCTCCTCGCTCGTTGGGCCGGCCTCCTCCAAGCCCCGCTATCCAATCACCCTCCTCATCCTTCGGCGCCGCAACCTCGTTGCCTACCCCACACCAGCACCTTCCTCACGGACGGCAGTGCCCTGCTCACTCTGCGAGCCCGAAGACGCCACCGACCCCACCATCTGCCAATCCCACCGCCTCAAGCTTCCGTACCACGAGCGCAGGCCTGAGACGGCCAAACCAGTTTGTGGAAACCAGCGTCCTAGGAGCGTGTCGAGTACCTGTGAGTGCCTTCCCTGCCGATTTGTCTTCGCTCCACCGGTACCTGTTTACGGCGACGATTTTCGTCCGATTTTTTTGCGCCGTCATCGTCTCATGCTGAACAACTCTTCGTGCCTCACAGGAAAGACATGTACCACGAGATCTACGAGGCCACTGCGCCTCAGCAAGGAGTGAAGCCCTCCTTCCCCCTCTCTCAGAACCACACCTTGTCTCCCCTCAATCTCAGGCTCCCTCCTCGTGTCAAAGGTGAGTTTCGTATTGCCTGTGTATGCCGTCGTCCTTGTCAGCCCGCTAACATTGCCCTCGAGGCCATACAGCATTTTCCTCCGCCTCGTCGGCGCAACCCCTGGGTCCCTTCCTCTCATCCTCGTCTCTATTCTCAAGGTATGTCTATCCTTTCCGAGGGGTTTGCGAACATGTGGATCATGCTCCATATCTTCGCGAACTCCTCGTTGTTCTGTACGGGTAGCCCCGCTTGAATGATGGCTGACGTGGTCATGGCAGATACCCTCTTTCGGCCTTGTTTACGTTCCACCGCGTCGACTACTCTGACGGCGGTGGTTGCAGGTGTGTCTCTATATCTTTTCGCGGGCTCGTTATCAGCTTGTTTCCGCACCGCAACATGGCTTCACTGATGACTGGTATTTCCTTAGCTCCACTTCATCTTCCTACCGAGCTATCAGGCGCGCACTCTTTGTCAAGATCCCTGGCGGGTTCCACCCAATAGATAAGGTATGTTCCGTTCTATACACTTCCATCTACCTCGAAGACTCGGACACTCGCCGCGGGCATGCGCTTTGGCGATTGACCGTCGTCCATGCCCGTTGGCTGCACACGAGCCTCGCATACACACGTTCGCCCCTCTCCTTGCTCGCCTCGCTGCCCGTCACGCTGCCCTCCCCGGTGCTCCCATTCAATGCGAATGCAGCGGTGCCTGCTGCGTCGTCAGAGAAGCACCTTCTGCACTCGATCCAGTTGCACATCTCCCTTGCCCGCGCCCTGCCCCCGTATCGATGCCGTACTTCTTCAGCAGCCCGCCTGTACTGCTTCTGCAGCCCGCTGCTCGATGACGCGGGTGCGAGCACCCCCGTGTGCTCAGGTCTCTGCTTGGGGAAGCGGAATAGGTCGCAGTTGTCTGTGCAGCCAGGGATCGGGCAACCGCCGGAGGGAAAGTCGTGGTACATCTCCTCAGGGGGCATGAAGGACGGATGAGCGATGGCCACCTGACGGCAGGACATTGTTTGGTGCGAGAAGAGGATGGTGAACCTCGGGCTTTTGCTTGGCGGCAGTCATCTCTGTGCACACGCACTTGCCATAAACTGAGCCGCAGGAGCCGTCCCCAGTTCGAGTCACCTTCATCGATCCGCAGCTTCCGGATTCGCATGATAGTCATTG